CTAATAATGCAGATGTTTGCGTTGCTTTAAGGTACGTCATTCTCCTAACCTTGCAATCCATTTACTTTTTTCTTGGGTGTTAAATTGGTGGTTTGCGCACCCGCATGAACACCTCACATGTTAGTGATTGGGTAATAAAATCGATTCAGACTGCCTGCCAAAACATTTTTTTTTAAAAGAAAAGGTACCGAAAGGGCGTTAGACTAGATCTAGCGTAACCAAGTCCCCGAGCTTAGAATCTCTAGTTCGTAGGAATAAAACATATCTCCCTATATTTTATTTAGGTTTCTAATCGACCTACCACAAATAGATTAGTGACGACTCCAAGCATGAAAACTTTTGCATGTTAAAAGCTTAAACCCTAAGTTGCGAATTGGTAGGGCTTGGGAGGGTCCGAGTTAGGCTTAGTCTTAATAATCCATTAGCCTGAGAAATTTTAGGTCGCGACAGCAGTTCCAGCATGAGTCACCTCAACCTCACCACCATTACAATTTTCTACGGTGTCTTTCACTTCTATGACCTCAGTGAGTGAGTTCTTGTCATTTGTAGCATGACAAGTAGCGCCACTATCTAACCACCACTCAGAGGAGACTCTGGCCTTTCCATTCTTCAACATTCCAATGAAGGCTTGAGGCTCAGATTTACTAATTAACAGATTAGTCGCAGTTTGTGGTGTGTCATTCTTTGGCTTCTTTTGTAGCTTACACTCTGCTGCCTAGTGACCCACTTTCCACAGTTATGACACTTGCCCTTCTTCTTCGTTTTGAAGATAGTCTTTTTGGCCTCTAACTGTGAAGAGGATTCACCTTTTGATGACTTGAACATTTTCTGAGGTTTATTGGAATGTGAAACTAAGTTGGCAACCGACTTTTATTGTCCTTCCTGTTCCAAACTCTTCCTAGATATGTTTTGATCTTCAATGTGAATATACCTCTTTAATTCATCCAGTTTCATCTGTTCTTTCTGTTTGCGCATTTCAGTCTTGAAAGAACTCCATTCAGCAGGTAGCTTACTCAACACAAGACCAACAAAGAGATTATCGGACATATCAGAGTTATCCTCTTTCAACCTGTTCCTCATGTTCTCAAGTTCAATTAATTGAGAGGTGATACTCGAATTCATATTGAATATAAATTCAAAGAACTTCTCCGCTAGAAGAGTTTTAGAGAGCCCCTCTTGTTTTTGGAACTGAGCGTTCAAGTGATCCCATATCTCTTTCGATGTCTTAAACTCACTATAAGTCATAGCTAGACGAGGATTTAAAGAGGTCAACAAGTAATCTCTACAAAAATCTTCATCTTTGTTCCATTGATATTTATCAACATCTTCAGTGGTAGATGCAAAATCACTTAGTACAGTATAGAATGTTTCACGTTCTTTCATGCCAAATTGAACATGCAATTTCCAACCATGAAATTCAGTGACATCAAATGATTGCAGCTTGATAATATCATAGGAACTATGTTTTGCCATTTTAATTAGAGCAAAGACGTAGAAAGAGTGCACCTTGAAGTCCTCGGAGTTCGCAAAATCGAATAAAGCCCCTAACCTTGGTCAAACCGCTCTGTAGAGGTGGAGTTTGCCAAAACAGACCCCAAAAACAAATCCGGAGTGCCCAAAAACCTTAAGATGGACTGCACTTGTTGTTGGAAGCCGAGAAGTCGCGAAATTCGCTGGAAGCCGAAAAGTTGCCGGAAATTCGCAGGAAGCCAAAAAATTGCCGGACTTTCGGTTGTCGTATCTCAGCCGTCCGACCTCCGTTTAATGCGAGTGACCACTCAAAACGCTCGTATCGACAAGTAGAACAAGACCCAAGTGGTTTCACCCTCTGAAATTGGCTATAATTTCTGGGTTCTTGAATCAAAGACTTCGGCCACCGAATCTTCAAACTCAGATCCCGGCCAACCCTCTCGTCGAAATTGAAAATAAATAATACCTGCGAGTTCGTCTCGACGAGATCTTCAAGTAGACACCTTTCTTGCTCAAATCCAACACACGAATCTAATACTTTAAGATTGTTGGAGGTTATGGATTTGAGAGAGAAAATAGTGTTTTGCTTAAAGTATTACACCAAGAGACGTCAAGTTTGGAACGCTCAACAGTGTTACATCCAGCGTAAGGAAACCCTAGAGTTTATATGTAAGCTATTGGGCTCCAGCCCATATGGGTCCAAAATAATCATACTTTAAACCTATTGGGCTTGTATATATGTGAACATATTATTTGGACTATATTAATAATATATCCAACATATATAACTCACCACTCATTATTGCATACACAGTTGAGATAATTGCCAAGATTCATCTGTCCTTGATGAAGGGGACTTCTTAGTCTACAAGGAGTAATTATCTGAATCATTTGGCTTGCAAAAAGAGAAAACAACAAAAACATATGAACTAATATGGAGACCTAATTGATTAGGTTACCACTTAGTTATTAATGTGCATAGTTTATTAGCGAAAACATGCTTTGCTGTAGCAATTAATAAAACTGAAAGAATCCTTTGATCTTTTTGTTTTCCATTTAGTAGCCATACCTGATTTTAACTAAATAGCATTAGGAAAAATTAAGGTAAAAAAAATCTGTCACTATTGCTCTTGATTTTAACTCTCTTAAGAAAAGCAACTTTCGTGGCTCCTTCAGCTGGAAACGAAGATATATTCATTACTATTCCTTGTCCAAAGCATCAAATGCAATTGACATCGACCTTGACCTGAAAAGCAAGGCAATGACTTGCTTAGCCAACTCATATCTCTACGATCCGAACGCCATGCGACACGATGTTGACCTTGACCTGAAAAGCCAAGCAGCGACTTGCTTGGCCGACTGATATGTCCACAATTCATATTGCCTATGAGCTTTAATGATTTGGGTTCGCTTTTATCAGGAACGCGAGTCACGTTTGTGATGTTACAATCGATTGTGGAAATTTTCAAACTGATTTGAAACCTGAATAGAGACTTGCACTAAGGATTCAATTGGCTCGTGTGTGACGAAGCTAACCTAACTCGAAATGAAAGGAAGAAAAAGTAAAAGTAGGATTCTTGATAAAGAAGATAGTTTAATTGATATTAATTTCTCAAGTTCCTTGGTAGATATAGAAAATTTGTTAAAAAGTTTTCTTCGTGGAATATAGTAAGGTAAAAATGGTACTGTCATCGTAGAACTATACCCTAAAACTCTCATTGGAGAATTAAAGTAGCAATATGTCGACAAAGAGACTTTATAAAAGTTGTCTCTATGTCTGTTAAATTCCAAACAATTCGTATGAAATTCCATGAAAAGGGTGTCAATTTTGGTGTGCCTCTCTAAGATGGACCTTATAGCATGCTTTTTACTAAAGACGCTTTTGCGAAAATTCCACCAATGATGTTGACTGAGGTTAAAACATAACTTTGCACGATGAACCAATGTTTTTTATTATAATTATTCTGTGATTTTAATTTGTAATTTTAAACTTTCATTCAATGCGATCCCTCACAAACTTATGTTATTTTCTTATTTTGGCTCATGTGACCGATATTCTAAATAGATACAAGAAATTGATTCATGTGAATTGTCCTACCTTAGCCTGTAACATGATTTGCAAAACCCGTTGTTTCCTCTAGCTAAAAAATTTTGTCGGAAATTTTAATGCAGAATATGTTAATTATCGTCGTTGTGACAAGATATATAACTACCACTCACTATTTTTACCACAGATAAGATAATTTCCAAGATTCATTCAAATTCATTTCATCCTTACTGTCCTTGATGAAGGGGACTTCTTCGTCTACTAGGAGTTATGATCTGAATCATCTGGCTGACAAAAGGAGAAAACAACAAAAAAAAATGAACTAATATGGAGTCGCTGGGTGAAATTGGCTCAATCAAACAAGATAAGAAAAGAGAAAACAATAGTTGAAATGATTTGTCTTTTTCGATGATCATTTCAACTGACAAAGATATCCTGTTCTTGAAAATTTCATTTTGGTAAAAGAAATAATTTTCTGACATGCACGACGGTGACGGTCAAGACTTTTAAATGCAACACTGCTTATTGTTTTCAGTTTCTTCGTTGGGATTGTATTTATGCATTATCCATGGGATGTGACAATATATGGCAAAGTATTTAAATATTAAAAATTACGCACTCATCTAACAGTTTAAATTTTACAATTATTAGAGCTAATTCTACAAATATTACATAATATTAGCGTAAGAGATATTGAATTTAGATCTTTTCAGTTTCCTTCGCGTTCTCCAGTTACACTTGGACCCTAGGTTAAAGTCCAGCCTACTCGTAACGGGAAGTATTAAAGTTTTTAAAAATTTTGACAATTATTCTACACTCATATATTTCTCATGTAAAGTGGAACTTAACATGATAGCTCACGTTTGATGAATGAAATGATATTAAAGGATTATATGAAACTTGCACAATGTTTTTCTAAAATAAATGAATAGTAAAAATAAAATAAAAATCGATTTAGAAACTATAAAAACCATAATTAAATCAAGTTTATAGAGGAAAATTTATTTTTAATAAATTACACAATGTCCATATTTCATCAAGTAATAGACTAAATGCATAATTAGTAATGACTCTCTTATTAAATGCATAATTGATGATAACTCTAACAAGATATTTTTTAAGTAGTTATATTTGGAAATTGCACGTCAAAAAGTAGATAACAAAATTGAGGGCTCATTACTTTGAATTTTATTCATATATGATTAAATTAATTATTAAAGATAATTCCTATTAGTTTATAGTTGATGAAGATAATTCCTACCACTTTCTAAATTGGTGGGGGCCAGTTGTGTATCAGAATTCGATTGGGAAAGGAGAGGGGCAGACGTTTTCTTTCCCACGGAGGGAGGGACATGTTCTTTGACTCAAGAAACCCAGATTTCTTTTGGAGATTATTTGGAAAGTAGGAGCATCCCAAAAAAAAAAAACGAAAAGACCCATCTCACTTCTCCTTATATAACCCTCACCAACCCTCAAATTAAATCATCAAGAAAGTTATATGCATATGAAGAGAGTCGAAGGAAGAACCATGGCCATCCATAAGCTTCTCCTGAAAGTTGCGTTGCTTGGGGCTTTTTTATTTGGTCCATACCACAATCACGTAGCACAAGCTGATGATTCACTGACTAAGCCCGGATGCCGAAGTTCCTGTGGAAACCTCTTGATTCCATACCCCTTCGGATTGACCGATAGTGATTCCCACTGTCGCATCAATTCTTCCTCATTCATAGTCGACTGTGATTACTCTACCAGCCCTCCCGTTCCTTACATGTGGAACAGAAGTAGTAACATCAAAATACTCCACATTTCTGTCGAGGACCATGAGCAACGCATTAGTGCTCCAATCGCTCGAAATTGCTATAACTCTTGCGGGTGCAATGATTTTTCAAGCTGGTTAAGGCTAGCTAAATTCCCCTTATCCAGCACCAAGAACAAGTTCACTGCCATTGGCTGCGACACGTCAGCCTCCTTTCGAGACCGCCATGAGAAGTTCTCTTTCGGGTGTATGTCTTCGTGTAGCAGCGTTTTGGACGTCAGCAATGGGTCGTGTACTGGTATCGGTTGCTGTGAGACGAGCATCCCAAGGAACTCCTTCAGCTACAACATCTCGATTACGAGCTTTTCCAATCATTCCGATGTCCTGGATTTCAATCCCTGCAGCTATGCCTTCGTCGCAGAAATTGGATCCTACAACTTTTCGGTTGGTGACCTACGGCAGCTTAAATTTAATGATCACCCTCTAGTTCTCGACTGGGCAATAGGGAATCAAACATGTGAGGAGGCCAAGAAGAACAGCATGAGCTACATGTGCACCAATAACACCATTTGCACCGACACCGAAAACGGATCTGGTTACAAGTGCACTTGTTTAGAAGGTTACCGAGGCAATCCTTACCTACCGAATGGTTGTCATGGTACGTTGATAACATCGGCATTCTCTAACTTGTCCTTGTATTGATATGATATGAGAAGATTAGATACATTTGATGCATACGTTTAATTTTTGTAGATATTGATGAATGTGCGGATCCAGAGATGAACCAGTGTGAGAAAATTTGCCATAATGTTATTGGGAATTATACTTGTTCATGCCCAAAGGGTTATCATGGTGATGGCAAGAAGGGCGGTGGAGATGGACAAGGATGCATTGCTAATCCATCACATTTGATGAAGATATTGGTTGGTAAGTTCTTTCATTTTACTTAGACTTCCCGACTCAAAAACTGTACTATCCTAGCTGATTTCGAGAACATATAATTTAACTTTTCTGTGGTTTAGGAGGAAGTTAACCATTCACATTTTCGTCTGATTTTTCTTCCACTATTTCCCTTGCTTGAAAAAAATCGAAAATGAAACTTTCTAAGTCCTTCACACTGAAGTTTTCTAATGCACATCATCTAATGCAATAAGTACATCACGTGTTACTAATTATATCATGATTAAGCTTTTTTGAAATTCAAAAGTAGAATAATTTCACTCTTGTCGATGGCTGTGATATAATATTTAAGTATTAAACCACGCATTCGTCTAATAGCTTAAGCTTTTAAAATAGCTAGTAGTGGTTTCACAAAATCTCACTTCGTACAAGAGCCACTATTCCTAAGGAAACCCTAAGTGCACCTGGTGGACCTCATAGCAAAATAAAGCCATCCCACCGTTCGATAGTGTTCACCCGAGTGCCTCATACGCGTCTGACCAAGAGACATGATGATCGTGCTACGACGTTGGCGACGCATTGGCAAGTCGAACTTTTCCTTTTCATAGACGTTTTTTTTATGCCACAAAGACATCTTCGCACAATAACTTTCACTCAGCAAAGCCTAGCTTATATCGCTTGCTGTAGCCATGCCAATAGTATTGGCTGTTACTATTATGACAACAAAGGATGCACGCTGGTCGGCTCCGGCAGCAAAGTCAACCGCAAAGGATGCATGTTGTTGGTCTCCGATTTTCTCAACTTTTCACTTCTCGTTTCGAGAAGCTGACACCACCACTAAACTTGCCACCATCAAACGAAAAACATATCGAAATCTCGTCGTTTCGAGAAGCTGACACCACCACTAAACTTGCCACCGTCAAACGAAAAACATATCGAAATCTCGTCGTCAACGGAAGCTTGGAGCAATCACAGCCACCACGCACTACCTCGCCTTGGATCCGATGAGCGCTAATTTCATGAAGAAACAAGTTGTTGTGGCACAGCTTCACTTGATTTCAAACTCAAGCTGACTTAGTCACCTTGAGTTTGAGGGGATGTTAGAGATATTAGGGATTTCACTAGGATATTTTCATAGGTTAGAGATAATTATAATATTTCTGTCGATTATCCGTATCTCCTAAAATTGCATGTATATCTTACCTGTTCTAAGATAATATCTCAATCAAGACCGGGACAATTGTGCTTCTTCCTTTTTTTGTAGATTAGCTTAACCAAATCCATTGTCCTAATTCAGACTCAAATTGTCCCAAAACTATTAAGTTTTTTCGAAGACACCTCACGATATAATTCTACAGGAAGTTTAAATGCGTGGCTGCTTTTACATGGTGCAATGATTCGCCGTGCAGTTAATCATGTGGTTAATTATTCTGAAAAACTGGTGTTGTATACAGGTGTTGCTGTGGGCATAATAGTGCTGCTCTTCAGTATAGGCTTTCTGTATTTCGGATACAAGAAAAGGAAGCTCATCAAGTTCAAAGAACATTACTTCAAGCAAAATGGTGGCTTGCTTTTGCAGGAACAATTACATGAATGTGACAGAACCACAAAAGTTGTGAAACTGTTCAGTGCCGAAGAGCTAGAGAAGGCCACCGACAATTATGATAAGAGCAGAATAATCGGCCGAGGAGGATACGGTACCGTTTACAAAGGGTTGTTGCCAAATAATACGGTAGTTGCGATTAAGAAGTCGAGGCTCGTGGACCAAAGCCAAATCGAACAGTTCATCAATGAAGTCATTGTGCTTTCTCAAATTAATAATCGTAACGTGGTCAAGCTTTTGGGATGTTGTTTGGAAACAGAGGTGCCTTTATTAGTGTACGAGTTTGTCAACAATGGAACACTCTTTGACCACATCCACAACAAATCATTGAAGCTGTCTTGGGAGACTCGGTTGAGAATCGCTTCGGAAACTGCTGGAGTCCTCTCATACTTGCACTCCACGGCTTTCACTCCCATTATCCATCGAGATGTCAAATCAGCAAACATCCTTTTGGATGCTAACTACACCACGAAAGTCTCCGACTTCGGAGCTTCAAGATTAGTCCCACTTGATCAAACGCAATTATCCACTATGGTTCAGGGAACATTGGGATACTTAGACCCTGAATACTTTCAGACAAGCCAATTGACAGAAAAGAGTGATGTTTATAGCTTCGGGGTCGTGCTAGCTGAGCTATTGACAGGGAAGAAGGCGCTTTCTTTTGACCGACCGGAAGAACAATGTTGCTTGGCAACATACTTTCTTTCATCATTGAAAAATGACAAATTGTTTCAGATTGTTGACGAAGTTATTGCAAACGAAGAAAACAATGAGCAGGTGAAGGAAGTTGCCAATCTTTCCGAGAGATGCTTGAAAATAGAAGGCAAGGAGAGGCCGACCATGAAGGAAGTAGCAATGGAATTGGAGGGACTCAGAGCAATGGCTAAGCATCCATGGGTAAGTGGTATCAATGTGAATCCAGAAGAAACGGTTCATTTACCGGGAGAGAAGACCGATGTGCACATTGATAGTATTGTGACCACGGGCACTGGATACACGGAAAACATGAAAAACCATGTCATGCCACTAGTTAGTAGTGGGAGATGACAATAACAGGTTATCGATATATATCTGGGTATGCTGTGTTGGATGTTATGGTTGCACTAGGTCTCCATTGACTGCCCTGGTCATTGGGTTCTTTCACGTTGAAACTAGTTCACCAAATGGTTTCTATGCATGGAAGAGAACTCTTGAAAAGTCTAAAGTCAGTTTAGTGATTCAATAAGTGTTTGTGTGAATGCAGGATAATTTAGCTTTAGAAAGCTTTGGATCGAACTCAGTGAGAGGATGTAAATATGGCTTCCTCCTTCTACCGTTTCTTGGTGGTGTTTTTGAGATTTGGTAGCTTTCCTGTCTTTTGAGTGTACCGAAGTTAAAATGATATGGAACTGCATATTTGTGTTTGCTCGACGATGTAGTTTGTCCAACTTGGAGGGCAATTCCATTGTCTTGCCTTGCAACAATACAATGAAACTTTCGTGTGTCAATTACACGAATGATATATTTTCAATTCCATACACCACCAACCAAATTGAATTTCACCTTTGACTTTTGTTCGTGTGTTGCTCGTCCATACGAGAAATGGGCTACGGTCATGTTTGCATTGTTGAATTAACAATTATGAAGATCATCTATATCTATTTGTAGTCAAGTTTTAATGTAGTTAATGTCCATATTAATAATCAACCAATCAAAAGCATTTCTTACTATTAGCGATGGAGGAAAATAAAGTCCAATAAAAGTACCTAGTTCACAGGTGCAGGATTCACTTACCTAAGGCGGATCTTTCCACCAGAAAAAAAAAAGGGTATGCTTTTTCTTGTGCACAACAATAGTCAACCGGTAAAAAGCTATTCAATTTATGATATGCATTAACTAGCATCGAATGCGGCCATTTGCCATATATAAAACCGATAATTAGTGTTGAGATCCTCCTAATTCTTTGTAATTATGATGGCGTAGCATATATGTGGATATCATAGTTATTATCACATTAGAGCAAGTGCAACTGATTGGGTTGATCAACTGGTTGGTCATCTTGAATCTACTCTATTCAGCTTATCTTAAGTTTATCCGATAAATGGGAGATATTGGCCAGTTATTCTTTTTGCAATTGATTAATCGAAAATCCTAGAGATTATTCTTTTTGCAATTGCTTCTCCTTTTATGTATATTTTCTTCGCTATATCCCATATAGATTATTGATAATTTGACCAATGTACCAACAATCATCACATTAAAATACCAACTAGTTTCAGTCACATACCAACATTTTATTTTGCTTCGGTTTGAAAAATACCAACATTTCTTCACACTTAGGATGACCAACTGTTTTAATAATATCAACGTTTATACTTGTGCTTACAAAGACCTTTGAATTTACTTACTTTCATTCGTAATTACCAACCTTAATTTGATTGACATACCAAATCACTTTAAAGGTGTCGATAACCACATGAACAAATGTTGGTAGATTATTAAAGTACTTGATAATCGTGGAAGTAGAAAGAAATGTCCGTACTTCTCAAAACTAAGCAAAAGATAAAAATTGGTACGTTACTATAATTAGTTCGTTTCTTAATCTGATGATTGTCGATACTTTAGTCAAATTGAGGTTGGTAATTTCGAACAAAAGTTAGTAACTTCAAAATCGTTGGTAACCACACTAGTTGACATGGGATTAAGTAAGCAAGTTCCTAGTCACTTTTTCGTACAAGCAATATGTGACAGTTAACAACCACACTCAGATTCGATTTGCAACAGATTTACGTATTTGAGGCTACGAACGCTTGCAATCTACTAAGCCTTTGCTCGTTATATGATAAATGAACTCTCTGCCAATGCTTCCCTTTGGATACATGATGCCAACTATCTGTCATGCGTGCAAGAAAAAGAAGTAATAGTGGGGATCTTTATAAAAAAGCTACTTTGATTAATATTAAATCTTCGAATTCATTGTGGCAGAAAGCAAGTTAAAGTTTTCAATATCCTATTTAAGAAAGTAAAAATGGCGCTATATATGGTCAACAAGAGACTTCACAGAAGCTATCTATGTATGGTGATGATGTCCACTATCAATCAATTTTGGCATTAAATTCCACAAAAAAGGTGTTAGATTATAATGTTTGCCTGTCAACGGTGGATCATGTAGCATGTTTATCATCACCGAAAAAGCTTTCAGAAGATTCCATCGTTGGTGTTGGCTGAGGCAACGGCATATAATTATCATGTTGAACCTGTTTGTGACCTTAATCGGCTTGTAATTAATGAAGGTGGTAAAATTATGGTATTTTCTAGTTTTGGCTTATGCAGACTAAAATTCTGAGACGTACAAATCCTTCAATAATGAGAATAATTGATTTATTTTGAAGTATCCCGCCTTAGTTATTAGGTGATCACGACTTTCGATGTCGTGGCTTTTCTTGGCGAACTGAAGTGGTACAATCCATAGTTGTTCCATAACCATACAATTGGAGTAGAGTTTCCTTGTCTACCGCCTCAGCTACTAGTTTCCTTACCGAAGGATACTTGAGTCATCATCTCAAGCACTTTTGCAGAGGTATTAAAGTGGTTTCATCCTCTGTCCTGCTGGCAATATCTGTTCTCCACAAAACTAAAATACAGAGCCCCTAGTCCTGAAGTTCACACTTTAATTGTACAGGTCCTGTGGATGCGGTTTTCGAAAAATTTGTGGACGGTACAGAGAAGTCCAGTGCATCCTCAGGACCTCAGCGAATGCTATCAAACTGTTCCAAAATCCTTCTGGCCCAATGCATATGAAGAAGTAATGCTGAGGTATGATTTCCAAGCACAGGAGGCCACTAGAAATGGAACCCGCTAGGCTCTAGAAGAACATGAGCACAATCAACCAGAGTCAATTTATTTCTCTCAGGACCCGTGGGACTTTGGATAGACATTATATTTTATCCAGATAACATGTATCATAAATACAGTGACTCATTCGAGGACCCTAATCAAGTGGAAAATCAGTCATAAACTTATTGTACTTTTGCCAATTCAGTCATAAACCTTTTAATTGTACTAATTGCGCAAATTCAATTTTGAACTTTTTAATATATATTTTTTAATAATTTTTTATTAATTTTTCTTTTCTTTTTCCTTTTCCTTTTTTTCTTTTTTGCTCTTTTTCTTTTTTTCTTTTCTTTTTACCGTGGCCAGCGAGATCACCTTGCCCAGATCTTGGGGAGGCTGGGTGAGGACCACAACCTCACCTACTGCTAGCGAGGGCCCGGCAACCCTTGCCAGCCACAATAAGAAAAAATAGAAAAGAACGAAAAAAGAATAAAAGGAAAAAGAAAATATAAATAAATAATGAAAAAATTGTCTACATTAACGCCGGTCGTGCCACATAGGATGGCCGGCGTCCACGTTAGTGATTTCCGACATAAAATTGGAATGGATTCAATTAGCAAAACGTAAAAAGGTTTAGGCTCCAATTGTCATAATTAAAAAGTTTATAACTGAATTGACAAAAGTACAATAGGTTTAAGTTTCAATGTTACATTGGAATGATAGGATCTAACATATATCTAGCAAAGCGACTAGATTGAAATTTTATGACCGCATCACAACATAGCTTTATAATCACTATTATGTACTTTAACTAAAAAAAATGAAACTTGTCCTCCGTTTCTTTCGAGAAAAATGTGATATGTCTAAAAAATGTTTTCTGGTGTTTGGCTAAAACCTAAAAATGAACCAGAACATATTTTCCATGCATTCTATTTAATAATTTTTTATTTATATTTTCCTTTTTCTTTTCTTTTCTTTAAATTGAATTTGAAATTAATTCTTTAGTTTGATCCACTACAAGTAAGCTCAAGCCTCGCCATAGCCCGGCGAGACTCGAGCTCGCCAAATCCAATAAGGTGGAGCTTGCCCAAGGTCGGCGAGCTCGAGCCTCACTAGATTCCTCCGAGTTCGAGCCTCACTGGCCTTGGGCAAGCTCGTCCCTTGCCTATCGCTAGTCGCCGACCATCTCCATGGTTGGCCAAAGAAGAAAGAAGAGAAAAATATAGAAGAAAAAAATAAAATAATCAAAATTTTGATTTTTGAAACAATAAAAATAAAAAATTATTAAAAGGAGTGTACAGAGTAGAACGTGCTTGGTCTAGGTGAAAAAGAGAAAATCATTTTCCTCACTTTTGAAGGTGTTTTTTCCATTGACGGAAATGTTTTCATTGGCTTATTTATTTTCTAGGAATCAAACGTCTGAGAATCCGAAAAACCTTTTCTTAAGAGTTGTTTTCCGTGAAACAAACAAAGCCTAATAGTAACATTAATATATTAGGTTAATACTAAAATATTAATTGTGTATAGTTTATTGATCTAGACATACTTTGCTGTAGCAGTTAATAAAACCAAAAGGATCCATTTTTTTAAAAAATTTTCGTTTTTTAGCCATATTTGATTTTAACCAAATAACATCAGGTAAAGTTAAAAGTGAAAGACGACCACTATTGCTCATGATATTAACTCTCTAAAGAAAAGCAACTTCCTTTGCTCCTTCAGCTTAAAACAAAGATATATACAGTGCCATTCCTTGTCCGAAGCATCAGATGCAATTGACGTCGACCTTGACCTAAAAAGCAAAGCAACGACTTGCATAGCTATCTCATATCTCTATGATCCGAACACACTGGTGACACGATGTTGACCTTGACCTGAAAAGCCAAGCAGTCACTAGCATGGCCAGCTCATATCTCTATGAGCTTCAATTATTTGGGTTCGCTTTTATCAGGAACGTGATTCACGTTGTGATGTTACAATCGATTGTAGGAATTTCCAACTTCCTTGATGAATATAGCAAAATAGTTAAAGTTTTCTTTGCCGAATATAATGAGGTAAAAATGGTACTGTCATCAGAGAACTATATACCCTACAACTCTTATCTGAGAACTAAAGTAGCAATATATCGACAAAGAGACTTTATAAAAGCTGTCTCTATGTCTGTTAAATTTCAAACAATTTTGTATGAAATTCCATGAAAAAGGTGTCGATTTTGGTGTGCCTCTCGAAGGTGGACCATATCTTTTAGCTAAAGACGCTTTTCTGAGAATTTTACCAACGATGTTGACTGAGGTGAAAACATGAATTTGCATGATGAACCTATGTTTCTTTTTTTTACTTATTCTGTGATCATCCCTCACAAACTTATGTTATTTTCAAGTTCTAGCTATGTGGTCTATGAAATTGTAAACAGATGCAAAAAATTAATTTGTGAACTGTCCTACCTTAGCCTATAACATGATATGCAAAACATGTTGCTGCCTCTAGCAAAACAATTTTATAGGAAATTTCAGTGGAGAATATGTTTATTTTCGTCATTATGACATGATGTATAACTCACCAGTC